CGTATTAAGAAAAATGGTGTATCAAAGGTAAAATTTAAGCTTAGATGTTCAAGATATTTGTACACTTTTGTAATTGAAGATGTAGAGAAAGCAGAAAAATTACAAAAATCTCTTCCGCCTGGTAAAAATTTTATTCGCATATTTTCTATTTAGAAAATAAATTATTGAAGTTTTTTTATTAATTATTTTAATTATTATTATTTCTTTCGATATACCCTATATAAAATCAAATAGGATTGGCGGTCAGTGATATTAATACAAGCAAGAAAAAGAAAAGAGAATAACTTTATTTTTAATTAATCTCATCATCATTAGCAGAATAAAAATAATATTAGTTTAAAAGAATGGAGAAATCATTTTCTTGTGATTTTAATATATCATCCTTTTATTAATAACTATTTACAAAAAACATTTTTAAATGTTTATTTAAATTTATTTTATATAATTTACAAATATTGATCATGGTTTTACAATAATAGATTTCCAATTACCATTTTTAAAATTTATAAATTAAGTTCTTGCGTTGATCTCTGATAAGAAACAGAAACAAAAATTTAAGTTCATCACTAAATTAAGTGCTCCAACATATCAAATTGTGTTGATACAAAAAAGGATTTTGCTGCTTCACGAAAACAATGAGTGATAATCCCTATTACTATCTACAAAAAATGTTTTTTAATAGAACTCATTTTTATTAAGTAAATGGGGTCTGAAATTTTCACCAGCTATAATCCTTATGATATAGATTTTTGTATTATGCAAAAAACACAATTTTGGTCAGAGATCTATAACCATATTTTGCTGGAAAACCCATGATTATAATTACCAAAACTAATATTTAATATTCAATGTTCAATTAAATGTTCACATTCATTAAATATATTTTTTGGGAAACATGAGATAGTTTTATCTCAAAATGATTTTTATATCTTTCCATTTGCAAATATTAAATATAATTGTGAAGGACGCCTTGGGTTCTGGTTTAGTTAGCAATGATATTTGAAGTAATATAAACGCCAATTTTGAAGCCATGATAACGTGACAATTAACAAAATGAATTGTAGAGAAAATAATCCTATGTTAACGAAGCCATTATTGATATTATTCATTGGTACACATATATTAATATTAGGTGTAATTCGTAATCATGTTACATAACAACAACATGTAACTTATAAAAACACTATTGCTTTAACCTTTTAAACAAATAGTATACAGTATCTTTATATAATAAATTTTTTTATTTATCTTTAAAATTCTTTATATATAACTCCATAAAAAAAACCAATTGCTTTATGTTTAACTTGAACAAAATAATTAGTAAAAAAAAATCATAATAATATTAAAACAATAATTCAACAAAATAACAAATAGTAGATGATACTAGTTTACCTTTCTTTAGTTTTAACAACTTAATTTCCAAGATAAATATTATTTACACAATAATTAAGCCAATATTAATAGTATAGTAACTTCAAAGATACAGCTGTAAAACAATATATATATATATCACAATATGTATAGGTACACAGGTGTAATACGAAAATTTAAATTTGTTGGAGATATTGTATAACTGGCAAATGATAAAAATAATAATATATTGAATAATTAATATATATATTGCTGAACTGTGGAATAATAGTTCTGTTGAAATTAAAAAATCGAATCTTTGATACTGAAAAATAGAAGAAAATGTTGTCAATGATGCTTTTTTATTGTTGTGGGCTGGATAAAGCTGCAGTTTTGATGTACAAGTAGCAGTTGTAAAAAAAAAATTATTTTTTTTGCTGACCATTTTGTTGGTTCTTTTTTTTTTTTTTTTGAAGCAAAAGGTGAAAAATGCTGAATAGGTGTAAAGTTCATAATAATTTGTTGCCTACAACAACTTTAAAAAATAATATTTTAAAAAAATTATATTCCAAATTAACTAATAAAATAATTATCGGATAGATAAAAATATACTGTGATTATATTAAAAAAAAATAATAAAATTTCCAAATTTTCATAATATTCAATGGGAAAAATGGAATAATCCTGCTAGTATGGTGAACGAGGTCTTTGATAAGGGTCATATCTTGCAGGGGGTTGTGGTCGTCGATCTCGATCATATCCTCTTTCATAGGCTCTATCATAATTTCTTTCGTATCCTCCTCCTCTTTCATATCCTCTATCATAGTAAGACCTATCATATCCACGATCATAATAGGGTTCACGCCCATAATTCCTTGGTGGCCTATCATATCTATCATAAGATCTAGTATAATCATATCTTGGATCAAATCTATCAACACGGCGTGGTTCTTTGAATGAAAAATAACAATAACAATTATTTTAAATTTTATGATGATATAAAAACTTAATTTTTATAAACTATACTATACCTCGACGTTTAGGTGGTCCATAATAACGACCAGGTGTTGGAGTTCTAGGTCTAGATCGACGAGCCTAATTAAAAAAGATAAATAAATAAAATAAGATCTTTATATTATTTAATATTATTTTTATTAGATTTCATTGATCGATTTTCTTACCTTTTCTACTGTTATAACTCTACCTTGAAATTCTCTACCATTAACGGCTTCTTTTGCTGAATCAGCTTCTTCAGATGTCTCCATTGCAACAAAACCGAATCCACGTGATTCTCTAGTATGAGGATCATACATAATTTGAGTTTTTATTACCTTATGAATTAAATAAATATGTTTTAAAAATATTTTAATATAAATTCATTCGCCATATAATCATTAATTGCCAAGTGTGTATATATATACCTTTCCATATTTTGAGAAAAATTCATCCAAGTCACGATCACTAGTTCTTACAGATAAACCAGTAACAAATAAACTATTACCAGAATTAGTTTCTTCATCCCTACTATCAACAAAAACATTGATTTTTAACTTTTATAACAAATAATGTAAATAAATAAATTAAAAATAAATAATGTAAACCTTCTTTCTCTAGGTGACCTAGATCGATGAGGGCTTCTAGAACGGGAACTTCTCATACTTCGTCTATTTTCACGCTCTTCCATGTGCATCTCTTCTCCATCATCTCTATGCCTGTCTTCAAAATTATCAGAACCATTTGGTGCTAATTTTTTTTAAAAAAAAAGACCTGTGCATGTTAATAACTGTCATATATAAAATTTTCAAAACAACAAGTAAACGGCACAATTAAACATTACTCATTTTTATTATATATAATAACAATAATAGTTTTTAAAGTTTTTTTTTTAAAAAAAAATTTTTGAATTTAACAATTAAATTTCCATTTTTGTAGTTTGTGTAGCAAAACTCTTTTTTATAAACTTGGCACTATGGCGTAACAATGTCGCGTATTAAGTCATATGACTAATTCTAAAAGTGATCGACATCGATTTTATTTTATTTTCCTAGAACATTATGAGAATGAGGAGAAGGAAGCAATAGTAGAAAAAGAGGAAAAAGAAAAGATGATAATAATATCTATGTATTCTGATTCAGAACAGGAGGAGCCAGTGAAGGTATTAAATTATTATTTTTTTTTTTTCAAACGAAGGCAGCATTTGATTGTATAAACCAATTCTTAAAAAATAAAATGGATTTACAAACTTTCTGATAAAATATCTTATAATGGCAATGAAGCAGAGATTAATGAATCAAAAATATCCGAGATGAAGAAATTTATGATGATGAGACCAGTAAACTTGAACATGAGCCTAAACTATCAACCCAATCACTTGTTCCAAACAAAATGGAAGATGATAACGATGAACTTAGTGTACTTGAAGACGATCCTAAACCATCAACGAAGAAAAGATCTACTTCAAATAAAAAGAAAGATGATAGTGATGAACTTAAAGACGATCCTAAACCATCAACGAAGAAAAAGCTCTAGACAATCCAAATCATCTCATACAAAGAAAAAGAATGATGAAGATATCATTGATGCTGATGAACTTGAAGACGATCCTAAATCATTAATAAAGAAAGGGTCTGGACAAACTACTCCAAATAAAAAGGAAGATGATAATGATGGAATTAGTGAACTCGAAGAAGATCCTAAACCACCAACAAAGAAAAGATATGGACAAACCAAATCATCTATTCCAAATAAAAAGAATGGTATTATTGATAGTGGTGAACTCGGTGGACTCAAAGACGATCCTAAACCATCAATGGAAAAAAGATCTCAAAAAATGATGATAAATCCGTGAGTAATAATAAAGATAATATAATAATTAATATAATATATAGTATATAATTTTACATTGTTTTTTTTTTCTTAGCAAAACAACAATAAAGAAGAAATAACAATCAAGAGTTTGAAGTCTCTTATTGTGTTCGTAAATTTGGTAAAGTTATTTAATATTCTTTTTAACCAACCAAAAGTTTCAATATATAATATTATGATTTTGTTAATCTTTCAGGTCCAGAGAATTGGCAGGATGTGAAGATACAAAAAGTCAAGTTCGTAAATTAAAAGAAATTCTCGTGGAATTGGGATGGAAGGTAAACTATTTAAAATCATTTTTTAAAAAACAAGCCTATCTAAATACTAACGTATGTTATATGTGTATTTTTTAAAGACGACCAACAAATGAGAAAAATGTAAGATAATAAAAAATAGTCGTGATCTAGAAACAGAATTGAAATCAATGGATATTGATAACATTATTACTAATAATGTTAAAGAATCAAGAAAAACACGAGCATCTATTGGAATATTTAATCCTACTGGTTAAAGTATTAGGCATAGAGAGAGATTAATTATAAAGACCAACTTTTTATTAAATTTATATTATTTTTTTCAGTATGGAAATTCTCATCATATATAAATGTATTACATTATTGTAAATTGAAAATTAATTTATCTTTTATATGCAAATGATATTTTCATATCAAACCAATATTCCTTTATATTCAGCTTGAGGATATTTATTTACTAAATATGGCCATTGAACAAGAAATTTATCAACAAATCTCAGTAACAATTTTCCACTCAAAGAAAGTGTATGGACACGAGCAAAAGATTCAATATATATTAGACGAATCCATTTGATCCCAAGTACCTTTTTTTTATTAAAAAGATCAAATGAATTAATTAGAATGAATCAATTATAAAAACCAAAAAGTACTTTAAAGTTTTGAATGATTCTTAATTTTGTTTACATACCCTTGGTATATATGAAATCATGCATACAGGTACACAATTTCCAGGACCATTACAAATTATCTTTTTTATAGATTTTAATGTATAGTTTTAAATTTAATTTTCTCCTTGTTAAAAAAAATGACTAATTATTGTAAAATCCTACCAGATCTGGTAATTCCGATAAAATAAGTTTGCAACACACTATTAATGTATTTAAAACAGTGAATACTGTTGAAAACCATGATTGTCCAACTTTGCGACTTCTCGGTATGTATCTTATAAAAAACTATATAAAATAATTAAATAATTAAAATTTTTTCCAAAGTTCGGTTAATAATTAACATGGTTATGGTTAATTAATAATACTTCGACATTTTCTATAGCTGCTTCTTCCTTTCCTTTACTATGATTATCTTCAAACTCCTTTACTTTATTTGAACTCAGTATATCACCGCTAGATATTATATAAAATCTCGGACAATAAATATTAAAATCAATTTCATCTAATAACTGTAACATTTCCATAGTATGACCGCCTTTTAATTTGTAAAATTTTTTTAATTGCTCGCTCTCTTTTTGTATATAAATGAAGTATGCATTTTAAGTATATTTATACCTGAGCCTAAAACTATACATGTTTTAATTCTATGCTTATTATTAGACTTGAAGATGTTATTACGTCGTTTGGTCGGCAATACCTGGATAATTCTAATAATAAATGCTAACAAGAAAATAATAAAAATAGTAAAATACAACCACATCTTTTTTATAAGAATTGGATAAAAAAAAGTTTATATAAAGATGTTGTATATACTGGAATAATAACGCGACTTGGTATAATCATTTGGAGTTCAGTTGAGCATAGTGGAAATTTAAAATGTTACACAAATTTTTTTATATTGTGCAACATAGCTTTACAATACACGGCAAACATTCAGGCAATAAAAAGTAAGTGATAAACTGGATTTGAATTGTATCTGAACTTGATCTCCAATTTAGATAGGTATATAACAATTATACTGGTGAAGGTTCAGGAGCAATGGGTTCTGTATAACATTTCGTGTAACAACAAACTTCCACTATGCTGTTCAGTTGAGAGTACCAATTGCAAGTTTAAAAAATCATTACCCATTTAGACAACTCACGTGACAAAATAATCAGTGGCTCTTGAAGTTCCCTCATTATTATTATATTTAAAATAGTAGAACCTTCAAGTTCCGTTAAAGAACAAACTAATACTAAAAAACCTTCCAATATCAAAGTTACCTATACCTCCCTTGGAAGATACTCCCCAACGATATCCTCCTGTCAAAGTTCGTTCGTTATATTAAGATTACAATAAACCATAAAACACTCTAAATGCTTATGATCATTTTAATTTTGTCTGGAAAAATAAAAACAATTATGTTGTATATAATAGTAATAGAGGGAAAGAAATTATCAACGATCCATTAAAATAGCCAAAATGAAGATCTTATACTTCAAAAAAAATATGCATCAGATAAATCAAGTTATATAGAAAAATTTCGGCATGATTCTTGTTGGTGTTGGTTTCCAAAACTGTTTGAAGAGGCGGAAGTCAAATCTAAAATTAAAAGTTATATATATCAAAACTAAATCAAAAGTCAAAAGTCAAAATTAGTTTCGACTTATGGCGAAACCTTTTGACTTTCGCACAGTTACGAAACTCCATATTTTTGGAAACCAACATTAATTCTTATCTTAATAATACTAATCCTGTAGTTTTTTAAATCTAAATCTATGCTTTGTCTTGGAAGATGATCCAACTCCTGATATAAATAACAAAATTATAAGAGCTGATTCATTGGCCTTTCCTCACTAAAATTTATTATGCTTTGAGAACAGAAACTCTTGAGCCTAATCTATTCAGAGGTTTCAACGGTTATTTGGTACAACTCGTTTGCCAACTGAAACTGGGTGTAAAATGCATACTGATGCTGTTTTTCATCATATCATTGTATTATGTCATAGTCAATTCTATTGGATTGATGTTTTAAATCAAAATAATGAATTTAATTGCAAATCTTAAAACAATAAAACAAGATGCTCTTAAAGTACCTGCTGCGGAGATTGCAAATCATGCTGCTGGAATTCTATCTACTGAGAATCGTCATAGATGGGCAAACTTGAGGAATGTTTTGGAAGAGACAATAAATAACTTAATACAGCTTTGTTTATGGCTTGTTTAGAAGAAGGAAGTCCCTCATCTGATGTTGTAGAACCTATGATATTAAAGATGTTGTACAAGTTGGTTGGTACTTGTGCCAATCGTTGGTATGATTAAGCGGTATGTGAAAATGGTTCGGCTGGTGTTAATTTTGAACATACTGGTAAGTTATATTGTAGAGCGACCTTTTAAATTTAATAAGTCGATATATCTTTTGTATATCAAAAGATATTACAGTGAACCCTCCATAAGTGCACCCCCCTTGGGAATGGATGAGAGCGTGCATTTATGGAGGGATGCATTTATAGAGGGGAAGAATTTTATTGGTTGCACGTGATACTAATAAAAAATTATTGTACGATTTTAAATATTTTTTTAATTACTATTACTATTATTACTTATCGGGCAAACAGCACTATTTAAGCTATTTTTGATTGCTTTGTTATTTTAGGTACAAAATGACGTCAATATGATTGATATACTATTTACACAACATTTCTATAAGATATAATTAAATCATATAATTAAACTTAATAAACAGTGACGTTTGAAAGAATAGCTTAATGGTGATTGCCCGATAACATCGATATTGGGCGTACGATGGACAATTTCAGTGACATCCAGGATGTCATGATATTGACCGTTGCGTGCCCAATATCTTATACATATTAATTATTTATTGTTGACTAAAAAATTATTTCATTGTGGTTTGCTTCATTGATTTTTTTTTAAAAAAAATTAATGTATCGCTCAAGGGCATTACCTTGTCTTAATCTTTTCTTTAGAATTTTCTTATTTTATTTTTGGTTACTTTTATTAAACATAAATTTTTAAAAAAAAATTCGTGATCTTTTATCCTTTGTTTAATCCTTAATTTTTTTAATTTCCATATATATAATTTTCTCCATTTGTATTTTTATCATTATTATTCTAATACTCTTTGTCAATTAAAAAGAAAGAGTTAGCAAACGTTCATTTAATCCTTTATAAGCAACAGTAGCTACTTAATCCTTTATTTTCAGGTTTGAAATTAAATTAATGTAACACGAATTTATTTAGCAAATAAATCACGTGAAAGTCACGGGCGTTCATTTAGAGAGGGTGATTTTATATGAACGGGGATGAGGGAAGACCGTGAAGTGCAGAGTATGGAGGGTGCGCATTTATCTCTAATTCCCGAGGTTGGGAATGAGACATAGTGTGCATTTATGGAGGGATGCATTTATAGAGGGTACACTTATGGAGGGTTCACTGTATTTTATAAATATATAAATAAATATATACACGTGGTATATTAAACAACCGATCCTTAAATCAAGCGAACGAGCTATTTGGTCATTGCATTGATTCTTTAAAAACCTTTAGAACAAACAACAACAACAACAACAACAACAACAATAACATTGTATATCCTATCATTGCCATCTTTAAAGGAAACTGCTAAAACAATTACATGCATTATTCAGATTACTCGCATAACGGTTTTATTTGACGGATAACTCCTATGAGTATATCAAGCGAATTTATTTATTATTTATTTATTTACGATCGATTTAATAAAAAAATATAAACGAGAAATTAAAAAAATAAAAGAAGGAAAAAAATTGTAATAAGTACAATAAAAATTTTTTAAAATTTCACGTATACATGCATTTAGTAGTAATAGTAATATAGTAATGATAACAAATGAGAACTGAATAAATAACCATAGAAGCTTAATTGTCTTAAAAATTAAATTAACAAATAAATAATGAATCAAAAAGAATGAATATATATTTAAAACTTATATTAATAAAAAATCGAAGAAAAAATATAAAAATTTGTAATATTACAGTGAGGTAGGATACCAATGAAAAAAAAATAAATTAAAAAGTGGTGAAAGGAAAGGCGAGAATTATTTATAAATTTACAGTGAATACTGGTGATGGAGTATGTTTAACGTTGGTGGCGATTTTTAATATTGTTTCTGAGCAAAATGTCTATAAGATTTATAAAAGGTTTTATTTGTGTTAAGTTCATCATATATACTTTTAATCATCTCGTGGAATTCTTGTTCAGATAAACCCAATTCTGGTAATATGTAAGGTTTTAATGAATCAACAATTAATTTAACGTTTTTCAACATCTAGAATGAAATTAAGTTAAAATGTTAGGATGAAAAAACTATTGTTATTATTATATTATTACTATTATCATTATTGTTATTATTTGATATTTACATATTCACCAACTTTGCCACCCCAAGAACCAATAGGGTTTGGACGTTCTTGAGAATGAACAGTGATCAATTCAGATTTCTGATTAAATAGCAATGGAATATCAAATACAATTTTTCTATTTATTCCTTTTGACAATAATAGTGCTGACACTAATAAAAATAAATGATGATTATATTATTAAAATTAAAATTTAATATTTTCTTAAAAAAAAAAAATGACAAAATATTTACTTGATTTCAGAAAACTAGTTAAAATTGGACCTGCATCATAAGGGAAAGGATCAATATCCCTGTTAGAAAAAAAGAATAAAATTAAATTGATTGATTGATAAAATAAGAATAAGAATAAAGAATAGGCATGTTATAATGATAACAAGAATAATTCCTTACATTATTTCAATCCATCCACCAGGTTTAGTAATTCTTATTAATTCTAAATTATTACATTTTCAAAGAAAAAGGTATTAAGTAATAATGAATACTTTATTTCTTTAATTAAAGTAAAATAAATACCTTCTATGTGTTTCATCCACTTATTTTCGTTGATAAAAAGTCCCATAAATTTTTGATAGACAAAATCAAAGGTATCATCTGGGAAAGGTAGACCACTCTCGCTAAGAGCGTCAAATTTTAAAAAAGCAACATTTGTGGGTTTATTTGAATCATATTCATTAGGGAAAATGGGGGAAATATCAATGCCAACAAAATTAGCATTAGGGTATTCCTCGGCCATTTCTAACAACCAATTACCAGAACCACAGCCGATATCCAAAACTTTTGCTTTATCATTTTTTGCAAATGATGATTTTAGAACATCATCAACAGGAGAAGAAAAATTACCATGCCAAATGAAGCGATAGATTATGTGTTCTAAAGTTAAACGTTCAATTTCTTGTTTGTCATTTGGTAGACAATAAGATGCTGTTGGAACATTATGATAACGTCTACCATTGACATAAAGAAATGAATCTAGCAAAAATTTTTCTTGGTTTGAACCGGTCTTTAGATGAAATCTATTTGTTGTCGAAGGTGATAGTGGTAATGGGGGTGATTGTAATATTGGTGTTTGTGGTGGTGACGGGAGAGAGATTGTTGTTGATGATGGTGATGATAATGATAATAAAGGCGAAGGAGTGACATTAGGAGTATTTGTAGCAAATGAAGGAGTGGCAACATTAATAGTAGTGTAAGATGAAGGATTGTTGATGTTATTATTTGTAGTGTTGTAACAATTGTAACAACGGTTAACCATTTTCAAAATAATCGGTTGTATTAATAATTAGAGATTTAAAAAATTAAAAAACGAAAGAATTTATAATTTAATTATTAATATTAACTAAAAGCAAAGAGTGATTGAAAAATAAAAAGATTAAGGATTAAAAATATAAAAAAAAAAATAAAAAATAAAAAATAAAAAAACGAATGTAGGGAAAATAATAGAGTTTTTTTTTATTTTTATATAGTTTTTTTTTTAATTATGGCTAAAAATAGCATAGTCTTTATGCAAACTTATTTGACGTTTTCTTTGTCAAAAAACAGCGATAATTCTTATTTAAGAAATAAACAATAGTTAATCGAACTCCATTAAACCGAAGTTCATAGTAGATTATCTAATGGTCCCGATTACTTCGTTTACCGGGGTTCGACTGTAATTTGTTATATTAACTAAATTAAGTAAATGCAAGATGTAAGATGTAATGCAAGATGTAAATGTAATGTATATAAATAATGCAAACGTAAATTATTTACTAAACCAAGTAAATTTTTAAATTGAATCAACTTTTATATGTTTATTGACAAAAATATATAAATGTTACATAATAACGATGATTTTCCAAAGTATCGTATAGACAGCTTCTGTTTTCGTTGCTGGAAACAGTTTTGTTCTTAATTCCTAATTTAGTTAATAAATCTGAGGGTTCTTCTGATTCTTGTTGTTAATGAGGTAATAGTAATGGAATTGGTAGAATGATGAATGGACCAATATGGTTTCATATGAGTTGGTTAATTCAAAAATTGCGTATAAAATTATTTGAGTGGTATTGATTGAATGATGCGATGCTTGTTGTTGTCTCATCATTACTATCAGTATTACTATTAATATCATGATTATTGTAAATATTCATTTGATAATCCCATTTCCATTCTTCATTGTAATTAATTGCTAGATAAAATAACACTTATTTTATAATTAGAACACTCATTAATCTTATTGTTAGGATGACCAATATTCCATTTAATGTCATGTCATCTTTAGTCTATAAGTTTCATTGAATTCTGTCTGGCCTTATGAGTTTTATTTTACATTTATTATTATTTGAAGATTTAAATGTTGATGATATGTAGCAGCAATAATGTTAGTTGTGGTTGTAGATAACGGTATTGAAAATGTTGTCATTTCTTTTAATTTGATGGGAATTGATGTCATTATACTACCAACAATTCCTAGAGATTGGCACCATTAACTGTTTAACCGTTTTTAACCGGTCAATTAACTGTGAACCATTAAAATTTTTTAACCGGTTAAAGAATTTTTAAGCGGTGCCGATCTCTAATTGAAGTTTTTGGGTTCAAAAAAAAAAATAATTATCTAACTATATATAATTTATATACAATATGAAAATTAATTGAATAAAAAAATATAGTTACAATATTATTAAACACCAATTAACTAATTAATTTACCCATGTTAGATTCGCCGTGTAACAGTTGGAAGAATACCTTGTCAATGAACATTGTGTAAAACTTATGTAATAAACCCATATTATTATAACATTCAACAATTTTTTTCACAATTATCATCAAAATAGCCTTGTTATACTACAAGAACAGGTTTGTAATTATTTTGTCAAAATACCGAGTTACATCGTTCTTTATAGTTGATGATACTTTCTTTTGTTAAATTTAGGAATACCCAGAATGCTGGTCTATTGAATATATAGAAAATATAGATATAAGCAATTATCATCATTTTGAAACTATCGCAAAACTTACGTTTAATTTTTTACTGCATAATTGGAACTTATTAAAATTCTTAGCATATTAAAACATCTAGTTATTAAGCCTTGAATGCAACAGTCATTAAACAAATAGATGTAGAACGGATTCCCCTTGGAGATTTTTATCATCCCTATATAGTCATCAACAAATCTTCGTTCCCTTCATTAAGCAATATATATATAATTTCAGGTTTTCCTTTTGAAGTCACCATTTAAATATTTCTTTAAGAAAAAGAAAAGAAATTGAATTCTGGATAACAGCCGACCAATAGCTAGAATATATAAAATGAATTTACTTATTAGTTGTTGATGATTTAGATGGTCTGTCATTATCTATGAATTCCCTTCCTCAATGGTAAAATAATGACAACTGAAAAATGCTTATACAATAAGAATAAAGTTGGCGCACTTTGAGAACTAGATTTTTTCGCTTATTTCGTTCGCTTATTCTTTTGATTGGATTATTTTTCAGCAGCATCTTCTTGTCCATCCAACTTTATATTTGCAAGGGAGACAAACTTCTCTCAAATGGCGACTTGATAAAAATGTCATCATTTTCAATTCCTTTGAATCAAATAAAGAACAAAAGATTGCTGTTAAATTTATATACAAATTCATACTACATATTTAATTCACATGAAAAAATACATATAAGTCTCCAAGTTTGGTGCATAGTTCATTTTTTTTAGTTTTTAAATAAGGGAAAGAAATGTAGACAAGTAAAACCGCTGTTACCAATAAACAAAAACTTCAACAGATTGAATTAGTGTTTGATGTTAAGTATGTTATTGATACCTTAATGAAATTACCTGATCCCGTTCCTAAAAATACTAATATCGCTTCTTATCAATATCCAATCTTGATCAGTTTTCAAGCTGCAAAATATCATGTTCTTAACTTGCACAATCCAATTGATTGGGATATAATTGACACTTCATCACAACCTATCAACTGGTTAAATAAATTCATTGAAAATCAAACGCGAAACTGAACCGGAAATAGTTTATTACAAAGATATCTGTATCAAAATTCAAGTAAAATACCATCATCACTAGATGATGATAGAAAATTAAATCAAAAAGAACTGGAATAGAAACTAGATCATCTGTTGTGGATCCTCATACAAACAACCTATAACATACATCTATGCTATTGCTACATGATAAATCCGATTATGATTGCAACCCTAGTTATGATTGGTGGTGGTTGTCTCTCTATATGATTTGCCAAAGATCAAAGGTGAACTATTATTGATATATCAACAATAATTAAATAACAGTGAAGAGAAGGAAAACTGTCGAGGGACAAGATACACAAGATTTTTCTATTTCACTTGATGAATATTATCGCATTTTATATCATATCCTTACTTTAAAGTTAATGCGCAAATTAATGGTGGAAGTTGGGAAGGTGAGAATGTTTGGAGGGAACCATCTGTTGTTACCAATTATGCTGATTGCTTAAGTCCCTGGATTGAATGGAAATCTTCTTATAAAATACATATTAGCATATCTTCAACCTTCATTAAGAGGTAATAGTGGGGCTCCTTTGAAACATAAATTTGATGAATTGAAGGAAGAAGGAAAAATAAGTTCTAAGCTAACCCAACACCTTTGGTCTGATTTATGGGACGGTTTACAGAAATGGAAAATTTAAATTGACATGATTTTGAGTTTCACATGACTCAAAGCACCCATCAACAATGTTAAATCCACCAAAAATTAAATGAATGAATGTGTCTATCATTCAAATGCCCAACCACCCACCCACCATGTATGTCAACACATTGGTATTTTGTGTCTTTTTTAATCGATCTTCCTTGTCTACTATATATATTCTATATGAATTGACATCACTTTTTAACATATCTACCCAAAATTATTTATAATATTTCTTCATCTAGTTTATATTTAGCTCGAGCGTAAACTCAAGCTAGCTCGAAATTCAATATTATTTTTTATAAAATCACGATTTTAGAGACCATCAAAAATAATCGAATAATTATATATAGAAGTAAAACAATAATAATAATAAATTGTATGGTGCGCAAAGTTTATAGCCACCATTTCTGCGCCATACGGCTAACCCATGATAGTTTTTTTTTTGACACAGCTTTGTGAGTCTAAATTTGGAAATAATCATTGTAGCCTATACTAAAATCGAAAAAAAGATCATTATTGTTTTTAAACCTTTAATATCAACGGGAAATATTTTGAAATTTTGTTAAGTGGACATAGTTTCTAAGTTAAAATTAATCCTTGTGTTGAATTACATATAGAAATGTTGTTAACTCAAAATCATAATGTTGGTAATTATTCCCGTTTCTATTGCCATGCCTTGTTTATGTTAATGGAAAAATTTATTAAGTTGGTATAGTTTCTAAGCTGAAATTAATCCTTGTGGTGTGAACTGCATGTAGAAATGGTATTAACTTAAAAATCAAGATTAATTTTCCCCATTACTATTGAGCAAAACTGGCTGGAAAACATAATAAATTTTGAGTGACAAGCCTTATATTTCATTGCTGTACCAAGTAAACAGGGTCTAATGTTTTCACCAATTATATATAGCTCATATATTATAGATTAATATCATGTAAAAAACTTATATTTGGTCAGAGGACCTCAGAACCATAGTAAGATCCTAGCTAAAAGAAAAAAATTTGGATTATTAAACAGAGATTGGACGAATTTATTAAATGTGAACCAATGACACTAGAACTAGAACATAAGGATGTTCTAAACTTTGATGCAAGACAATTTCCTTAGATGAACAATAATTGACCCAGAAATGAATTTGAATTATCATCTGACAATGAATTAAATGATGAAACTATACTTTTGAGGGTGATTTTAACTAAACAAGTTCTTGCTCAAAAACCTATTATTAACTTTAATCACACAAATCACATGAATTGCAGGAAATTCCCTATTAATTTGAAAATTAAATTTCGCCCAAGTGGTGCAGCAATAGGTTTGATTTTTCTTTGGCCAACTTTATTGTTTTGTGGTTATCAACCATATGATAAAGATAATTTCATTTTTAAGAGCCAATTATTGTATGTCACAAACAAATAAATGTGATTACTCTGATTATTCCAAAGAAAAAATTGTAGAAATTAATTGAATTATAAAGTTAAAACATTGTTGTGTTTTTTTTTAAAAAATAAATAGTTTTTTTTTTTTTTAGAAAAATCTACAAATACTTTTTAAATTTGTTAATAATTTATTAATTAATCAAACAAAAGTAAATCATCTTAATTATCTGATAACAAAATACTCAAAAATCTATTTATACAAGAAAAAAATTAGAATTAAAAATCAGTACAGAAAATAACAACAACAACAGCAACAACAGTCATAATAATAATTTATTAACACATACTTTTCTGATGCCTTGGTACTAGCCTTTGCTTGACGTTTACTCTTTTGGATTTTACCAGATTTCAATTTTTCAGCATGTATAATTTCACCTCTTTTCAATATTTTAGCATAAGGATTAAGACGAATCATGACACTATTGTTACGTAATGGATTCTTCTTTTGTGTATATGGTCGTTTTGTGTGTTTCTCTCTTGCTGGCCTTAGGATTGATTGGATTTCGTTAGAGTTGATGAGATGTGTTACATCAGAATTGGATATAATATGTGATGGTAGACTAATAATTGCACAAATAAAATTATAAATATCAATAATTTTTTTTATAATAATGATAATAGCAATAATAATAATAATAATAATTTAGTACCGATAATCCTTCTTCATAGAAGAAGATCTTCTATAGGTGCCAAACAAACAATCCAACAAAGCAAAAGCACTTCGAGACCAGATAATAAATCTACCCAAATGACCACCTGGTGCTAACTGTAATAAATTCAAACTTCTAACATTAACTACTTCAACGCCAGGAATATTATGAAATGCCTTAACAATTCCATTATCAGTATTATAAACAATAAGAGGTCCTCTATGTTGTCTGTGATGCCTATTACGCATTTTCCCCTTGCCAGCCCTCAATTTATGAGAATTGGATACTTTAGTAATATCTTAATAAGCATTAACTGCTTTAAGCAATTGGACTGCTGCTTTTGTCTTCTCCAATGATTCAATACCATCACCTATCACCAATGGAACTTCTTGAATCTCTTCAATTCTATGTCCAAGTGCTAAAACTAAAGCCAGAACTGATGATGCTGCTAATGATGATGCAATGGCATATCTTTTTTGATTTAAATTGGTTTTAACATGCCACTTACACCAAGTTTTTATAGGTGAAAACATACGTCCTCCACGACACACATTACCAAAAGCTCCCTTAATTAATAATAATAATAATAATAATAATAATAATAATAATATAATATATTAATATTAAATGAAAATTATTTATAATTTGATTGATTATATAATATTGTATCATCATCAACATCATGTAATATATTATTTACCTGACCAGCACAATGTGTTCCGCCTCCAGATACACGAGGGATACGTGCTACAGCATGACCAGTACCCCAAGATTCAGCAGATGTTTGATGACCAGCCTTTGATGAGACGGCATAAGGTTGACGATTATTTTTTGAAATATTGGTGTGAACTACTCTAACAATATCAGGTCTAATGGGTGCTTTAAACACTGCTGGTAGTGTGATGTTGTCAATACTACTGTCACCTGCCTCAGAGTAAACACTGATCTTGGGTCTAATTGTTGCTGACTGAATAAATTAGTAAATAAATAAATAGATAATTATTATTATTATTTTTTTTGTAGAAATTTATTTAGTTTGATTTTTAATGTCAAATGAATGAAAAAAATTCTTCAGAGTTGTATGGTGCGTGTCACCTAAAGTCATCAAGAATTTATGGGTGACTTTAAAATGTATCTAGTCCCTCAATTTTCGTGTTACAAAAAAAAGAAACCGTAAAAATGATAGATTAGAACTTCCTCTTTCAAAATTACGGTATACTTTTTTGATTTTTCAACTATGTACAAAGTTATTAAGGTTTAAAAATACACAAGTTTACTAGTATATTTCAAATTTCGGACACTGATCATTCAAATTCTGTCCAATAAAACTCCTAATAATGATCAATTTATGTCACACAAGAAATAGTGCATAAATTTTGAAATTGAATATTAAGATATTTTACATCAATATTAATTAAATCATTATTAATTGTTATAAAAGTTCAAT